CAGTGAAAAAAAGAAACTAGAAGCTGTACGAGTAAGCCAGGGGCCTTGGACTGTATTGTTCAATTTAAGATTGAATAAAGGTGAGGGGGAGGAAAGCCTTTATTGGAAGACACCATCATTTGCTACCTCCCACATTAGGTGTGCAAACGCAACAGGCGAGGCAGAAATAATCCAAAGAAGTCGCCTCGTTCACCCTGTCGGCATTCGCGTGAAGTGGACACTTCTCCTGCAGGGTCAGAAAATGCAACCTGGCCTTCCTGAGCATCTGGATGCTGCCTCCAGTACTTTGCTGAAAGTTAATGTTCACTTGAGTTAGTATTTCCAAACTGGAGTTGATGTTTTTGGCTAGAGTTAAAAACAGTCTGCAGGAGCAGATCCCAGACATCAGAGCGGCACCAGAAAGGCCAGCTGGATTAGTGGAAATATGGTAAAGGAAAAGGAGGGTGGGGAGGGACCTCAGGAGTTGTCTTGTCCAACCCTCTGCTCAAAGCAGGACTAGCCCCCAACTAGATCATCCCAGCCAAGGCTTTGTCTATCCAGGGCTTAAAAACCTCCAAGGATGGAGAGTCAGCAGTCTTTCTGGGTTGCCTGTTCTAGTGCTTCACCACCTTCCTAGTGAGAAAGTTTCTCCTAATATCTAACCTCAATTTCCCTTGCTGCAACTTGAGACCATTGCAACACTGGAAAGATGGACAGTGATATGATATGGCAAGCACCACCTGTGCTTGGTGCCCATGCAGTGCTGAGGATGCTGAGTAGCGTTCCTAGGTGCTGCTGTGACATGCATCATAAATCACAGTCATACTGCTGTTCTGAGTGCCCTCCAGCTACAAAACATCCTCCCCCTGTACCACCCCCATGCAGCACCCAGCCTTAGCAACACTGAGGGATAATAATTACCTGAAGTAATAATTAAGATCTTAAACACCAAGCTGTAAGCATGCCTTATGGCCTGTTTCTGCAAGCACCTCTGCTTGGGCAAGTATAGGGGTTCAACTGGGAACTCACTGCATAATTGACCCCGTCTCAAACGTCTGGGTGACAGTTCTAGCTTCACGCCTCTCCTTTCTCTGCCCTTGTCTTTTGGCATCTTTCATTTCCGAGGCCCTTCGGAGGACTCCCGCCCCCCCCGCCAATTATCAGACATTTGCTATTTGGTGGGGTGGCAAACATGGAGCAGAAAACAGTCCTTTGTGGTTGGACTGGCAGGATCAGGGCTGCCTTGTGTGGCTGCATTTAGCTGACCAATCCTTGTAGCAGTGGCCAAATCCTAATTTTCTGTGGAAATTGCTGACTCCTCCATAAATAATTAAATATTCCTCATAGCAATGATGCCTCTTAAATTCATCGCTCTCTCTCCTCACCCTCAAAAAGGCCTTGACATGGGCCTTTAGCCCAGGGGTGGGCAAAATGCAGCCTGGGGGCTGGATGCGGCCTGCCAGGCCATTCTATCCAGCCTGTGGGGGCCCTAAAAAATTTAGAAAATGAATAGTTATCTGCCCCTGGCTGCCTGTCATGTGGCCCTCGATGGCTTGCCAAAACTCAGTAAGTGGCTCTCCACCCAAAATAATTGCCTGCCCCTGCTTTAGCAACTGAGAGATCATCTCAAATGCTCTTAAAGCTGGAGGGAAGCTAGGTGGTCACTCTAGCACCATGGTGAGGTAACAACATTTCAGGCTATTGAGACATGTCTGCAGCCAAAAGTTTTCACTCACTTCAAAATCCTCAACACCGTCATATGCCGCAAGAAAGGAAGATGTGATCTGTCACCTGTCTGGTTCTGTCTGAAAGATGTATTTTTTAAAGCTTTTCCTTCAATGTACAATGTCCTTGTTTCTCTCTTTCATCGCTGATTCAGTTAGGTACAACACTACCATGCCTTTCACCTCACTTCAGACTAACACGGCTAACTACCTCCCTCTGGTTTTCTTGTCCTGCTTGCCCCAGGTTTCATGCAGTCTGGTGGAGGCAGGTCTGAAGAAAGGGATTGTGTCAGTCAAGCCTGGTTTGTAGGGACACCAGGGGCTCAGCCTTGAAAGCTGGAAGTCACTAGTCTAGCGCAAGCCTATTACGTACTGCAGGCCTCTGCGTGGGTTCAATAAAGATCCCATCCCTTAGTATTAATGTTACTATTATTACTTGCAGTTCACTTGTCTTCTGAGATTGTGCACATGGATGGACAGGTTCTGTTTGGTCTAGACTTACTGCATCTGATTTATTGTGGCCCCGCCTAGGAGCAGGAAGGCACTGCACAGCCTGTGTGCAAGGACTCTAGATGGTGCTGTCCTGCTGCACTTATCCCGTCTTGCCTCATGGTTGCACTGTCTTGTCCTCTGTGGTTTCCCCTTCCTTGATAGTTGCAGAGTGAGCCGGTTAAATAGGAAGGTTTTAAAAGAGAAAGCAGGAAGAGCCCTCAAGCGAGCAGAGGTAGGTAGAAACCACTCTTGGTAGCAGCGTGTAGGGCCATCTGGATGGCGGGTGCAGACATGCACAATTCGCAGATGCCCTTGAACAAGAGCTGGCTTCTACTGGGAAGCTGGTGCAGCCGGACGCTGGCTTCCAAGAACAGCCGAGCTCTTCATCATTGTCACCCCTTCATGTTGCAGCAACCCCAGTCAGGATCAGGACTCTGTTGCATTTGGCATTGTGCACCCATGCACACCTGCCACAGCGAGAGTGTGGGCTCTGGGGCCAGTGGCTTTCCCTTGAATGTCCATCTGCTCCTGGGCTTCAGCTGGATTTTAAGTCATTTGCATGTTTATTAGTTTCCTGTCTGGGATCTCTCAAGGGAGAGTGTGCTTGTGTAGAGGGGTGTGGGTGTGGAAGGGGGGTTTGCAGAACACGGCCCCACATGCTCCCTGGCACCGAGATATTAAAATCACAGAATGAGGCGGAGGCTTCGGAGAAGGAAAAAGGCCTATTTGCTCCTTGGAGCCTTCTCTGTCCCCTGTCATGCTAGCCTCTGAACCTCAGAAATGCTGGCAGATTTACCCTCGCAATCCCACAGGGAGATGGGGAGAGTTATCCCCACTTAAAAAATGAGGAGCATGGGTGCAGAAATGCAATGACTTGTCCAGCAGCCATAGACAAAGCAGAGTGAACTCGCATCTCCTAGCCTTGCCCTGTGGCTATATGGCTATCCTTCCTCCTGTCTCCTGCCAGCACAAGAGCTTGAAGGGGGCATGTGGTGGGCAGGGGGGGGGACAGAAGAGGCTTACCAGGCACTCGGGGGGCTGCTGCTGCTCTCTCCTGGGCTGATCCCCACCCCTTCTGGTTGAGAACAACATTTCTCTTTCTCCCACCCACACAAACCACAGAGTCAGTCCAGTAATTCCTGGAAGGCAGTTTCCTCTGGTCTGGGGTGGAAGGTGGAAACTTCGTTAACTTTATCGCACTGCTCAACCATGGGCAGGGAGGAAATTGGGATCAGGGGCACTGGGACAATGCTGGTCTCAGGTGAAAGTCCCCATAGGACCTTGAACATTCACACAGAGCCAACAGGACTCCCGGCTTTAAGGTCTTGTTGAGACAACCTGGGGGGTGTGGATGGGGAATCCTGGCCTCCAAGGACCGACCCTGATGGGATTTATATCGGTGGTTCCAGGCAGAGAAGGGACATTAAGCATAGTGCTAAGTCACTGTCCAGCCTAAAGTCTTGACATGCCCCTGGCATCTGTGCTGAGCAATGGCTTCACATCACTGCCAACATCCTGCCCCCTGCTGGCCAGAGGAATAAGAAAGCAAGGGTGCAGCCCTCTCCCTTGGCAGCGGAGGATATGCAGTGCTGGAGAAGCCTGGCTGGGCTCCAGGCCATGCGGTGCCTTCTCCTGGCACTTAGGTTGCAGCAGATGCATTTCTCAGCCTCTTCCTCCTTGCCTAGATTAGAGCATCAAGATGGGGAAGAGCTGCAAGGTTGTGGTGTGTGGCCAGGCCTCCGTTGGAAAAACGTCCATCCTGGAGCAGCTCCTTTATGGGAACCATGTGGTTGGTAAGTCTGGGAGTGGGGCAGGTAGCCTGTAGTGGGCCTCAGGGGCAGGGGGGTGATCCTTCAGGCCTCCTCATTCATTACAGGCTTTGTTCTCTATGGGCTGTGAAAGACGCAGCAGCAGCAGCTTGACCATACCAACCATTAGCACACAGCCTGGATATTTGTGGGAGACCCTACAGTAACAAATCAGCACCTGCCTCACTAGTCAGGAGGCAGATCTTACTGGAACTCCCCAGCTCTTGAGAATAAAATCTACCATTTAAAAAAAAACCTAGCACGCAGATGTGTGGCGGCTGGCAGAGCAACAAGCAGGGGAAGCGGGCAGGCAGGTTTCACTCACTGTCAGGGTCCCAGATGAGGTGAGGATATGGAGGAGCCCCTGGAGATTTGCCTTCAGAGTCTCTCTTCACTTTGCTTCAGCAGCATCATGAGAACTGCAGCTGTGGGAGCCCTTTATGAGCAGAGAGCTGGGTGCAAGACAGGCAAAGGGCAGGAATCTGTTAGGTGTGTGGTGATAGCTAAGAGCCACCTTTTGGGTGCGAACCTGATGTTGAAGTCATGGCCCCTGCTAATGAAGGGCTTTGCATCCAGGTTTCCTGCGTCACCCTGTGCCTTCCTGCAGGTTCAGAGATGATAGAGACCCAGGAGGACATCTACGTGGGCTCCATCGAGACAGACCGTGGGGTGCGTGAGCAGGTGCGCTTCTATGACACCAGGGGCCTGCGGGATGGCTTGGAGCTGCCCAAGCACTGCTTCTCCTGCACTGACGGCTACGTGCTGGTGTACAGCACTGACAACAGGGAGTCCTTCAAGAGGGTAGAGCTGCTTAAAAAGGAGATCGACAAGTCCAAAGATAAGAAGGAGGTGGGCATCTCTGCTTTGTGCAGGCTGATCCGGGTGGAGGCTGTCCCTGGGCATGCGGGAACTTTGGGGGTTGGGAACAGGAGGCAGAGCCTGTTCCCCCACCCTGCTCATCCCCGCCCAGCTAGGAAGTATTTTTTTCCTTGTGGTGATTCAGTGCCTTGTGGGAGGCAACCCCACCCCTTTCCCCAACCTTCCTCCAGGACCAAGTGCTCTCCTTAGATCTTTTCAGCAGAGAGGCCATGGGGGTGTCAGGCAACTGAGCTAGCAGGGACTGTCAGAGTGGGCGTCAAGCTATCTGTATGCTTGTCAAAGGGGAGCTATTATTCACATGCAGGTGTCAACCTCCAGGGCTGTCAAATCCAAGCTATCTCTGCCTTTCTTCCTGCACCGCCATGCTGGATTTTCCAATAGGCTAGAAGAACGCTGAGTTTGCAAGTGCTCAGCCAGGTTCTGGTATTGTGGTCTGTACTGTTGTGGCTATGCAGACTGAAGTAACAAAGAAGATTGGGCCTCCCACTCAAGGGCCTTGCACTGGCTCCGGAGTGGGCTGTTCTTGGTGATGTGGAACTGTATACTAATGGCTCATCTCGTGGCAGCACAGGGGAATCTTGTTTCCCTGCAGGCCATCAGCATTAGCTGGGGCTGCTGCCCATTGTGGGATGGCACATAGGGTGGCTCAGGGGTGAGATCTGACTTGGCAAATCCCAACTTCCTCTGCCTTCTCCTTGGAAAGAGCTTTGTGGAATTGGCACATCCCTGGGGCTGGCATGGTGGGCAGTGCGCAGTGTATGTTGGAGGGGAGGGGGAGAGCTGTACCACCCAGCCCTGACTGCTCTATCTGGGGGCGACTTGTTTACAGGTCACGATCGTGGTTCTGGGCAACAAGTGTGACCTACAAGAGCAGCGGCGCGTGGACCACGACGTGGCCCAGCACTGGGCCAAGGGTGAGAAGGTGAAGCTGTGGGAGGTCTCTGTGGCAGACCGCCGGACACTGATAGAGCCATTCATCTACCTGGCCAGCAAGATGACGCAACCACAGAGCAAGTCCGCCTTTCCGCTGAGCCGCAAGAACAAGGGTAGTGGCTCCATGGACAGCTGAGGGCCTGGCCTGCCCCCAGCCCCTTCACCTCACCCCCACTTTGCACCCACCTTTTCTTTTGCTTACTCAGTGCCTGGGTAGTTGTGGGAGCAGGTGCTGAGCTTCCAGTGGAAGGTGAGACCGTGCTCTGCACCTGACTGCACTGGCTGGCATGGAGTGGTCCAGGGCCGGTCCCTGGGGAGGAGTGGGGAATGCCTGGCCCATATGCTGTGAGCTGGTGGGGAGAGCAGTTCTATTCACTGCTCAGGTCCTGTAGGTGTTTGAGTTGCTTCCTGGTTGAGCCTGGCTTTGCAAAGACCCTCCCTGCAGGACCTCCTAGTTCAGGCTTCGTCTCCCAAAGGCTGGGCAGACCTGGGGGACCCTGCCTGAGCATGGGTGGGGCATGTGGGTCCTGCCAAAAGCTGCACCTGTTTCCAGCCTCCCTTACTAAAGCTCCATTTAGCTCAGTGTCACCCCTGCCCTCAGCCTATAATGGGCTGTTACCTCTGAGTCAGTATCCATGCAGTACAGAGCTGGTTGGCAGCAGGGTGCAGGCTCTCTTCTGTCTTCTGATTCTTTCCTTGAGGCAGTCACTGGAGAGGTTGCTTAGCTAGCAGGGAAGCTTAGATCCTGATCTAGACCCCACAGCACAAAGGCTGAGCTGGATGCAGGTTTTGCAGGAGGTATTCACCCTCCAGGCCTCCCTGCTCACCCACAGGCAGCAGCAACTGCCCTGTCTCTGCAGCATGGTGCCCTGGGAGCATGGAGCTCTGTCAGCAGAGGGCACTGAAACCTTCTGTCCTTGCAAGGGCATTGCTGCCACACTGGACAACCTGGGGAGCTTGAGCTGTCCTGGGATCCCTGCTACGTTTGGACTGTTGGCCTAGACCCCCACCCCTTTGCACCTTCCTCAGAACAGCCTCAGAATGGGCTGAAGGGAGCAGAGATTTCACTTCATTAGGCCTGTCAGTGCCTGGCCATGGCAGAGACGCTGCAAAACAGCCTCAACCTCCTGTCTCTCCCCTTGCTGTGACATCATTTTGATGGCTAAGCCCTCAGCAGGGGCAGTAGTTGAACCCAGTACTTCCACTATGCAAATGGAAGAACCCAGCACCCTCTGCTCAGTACCTCAGCCCCTCCACGTCCCAGGTGCTAGATGCATGCTGCTTACTCAGCTGCTTGAGGTGGGGGTGGGGTACTGTTGCACTGGATTTGGGGCAGCTGTAGCTCACATCAACTGCACTACAGGTGAGAAGTGAGCCTAGGGGAGGCAGCTTTCCTCCCTTCAGTGCTCTTCGGTGGTCACCCTTTTAGGGGAAGCAGTGCAGGGGAGGCTCCACTCAGACCAGTCACATCCTCTGTGGGTTAAGAACTGAGAGGTTAGTGTTACAAGCTCCTTTATCTTCTCTGACCAGATATTTGAGGCCACAGCTGGGGTCACCATGGTATCCTTGAATAGGTCTGCACCCCAGCCCGGCCCTGTTAGACCATTTCCTAGAGCCAGGGAAATTGGGCTGGTGCATTCTTATTTCTCATGGCATTACTTACTGTTGTCAGAGGTGCCAGGATCGCCTCTCTCCTGCTGCTTGCAGGAGGGTGGGGGTGGTAAAGTCTGCTGAGCCATGTAGCTGGGTAGCTTTAGCACCAGCTGTGCCTCTTAATGCCCAATAAGAGTGCACAATGAGCTCAGTTCTTCAGAGAAGCCAGCCACTTTTAGGTCCAGTGGCCAGGTGTTGCCTTGGCCTTATGGAAATGTCACCTTTAACCCTTTGGGGACTGCAGTGCTCTAGGACTGTCAGGCTATAACTGTTTGCTGCTGGCAAGACTAGTGGCAGGAAGCCATTTTCTACAAGAGAGAGAAGGGCATCTGATCTACCTGCCCCAAGGGTTCAGCTATGGTTAGGGGTAATTTGTTTGACTGCATTGCTTCTTCAGCTATAACCAGCTTTGCAGGCACCACCTGTTCACTTGGGATTTTTGGTGGGCTGGGACTAAAAGGGTTAACTCACTAAAGCCCCACTTGGCTGCACCTCCACCCCTAACCAGGCTCTGGCAGAGACACTGATTTGAGGGCAAAAGCAGGGTCCAGTTGGAGCACTGATCAGCTAGAGCTGGACTCATTGCAGCCTACGTCCAAGATGGCATAGGGCCCTGAGGGACAGTGGGCTGCACAGCTTGATTTGAGGGGGAGTGAGGGTCATGGGACTGCCTGCTGCCAAGGTGGGGAAGCATGAAGGGATGGACTCTGAAGCCTTCGTGGGCTGCCTTTCTGAATTAAAGAGGAGGTTAGCTGCAGGCTGCATCCCCTCTGTGCACAACAACCCTTAGGCTCCTTCATGTATGTACAATAAGGTCACTCAAGCTGGCTGTGGTCATCAGTGTATGCTGGGTGCTGTTTGGACACAAAATAAGTGAGCCAGTGAGCTCACAGACTAACCAGGGAGGGATGCACCCACCCTAGGCCACACAGCTGAGTCAACAACATAACATGAATCTCTTGTGTCCTCAGTGCACAACCTGACCCATGCCACCATGCTCCCTCCTGTGGTCTTTGGCCAGCTGAGTAAAATCTTCACTGCTCCGAGCCACTGGGGATGGGGCTGTTCCACACCCTCTGGTATCTACAGCATGACGGGCCTGAAACTTGGGTAGGGCACCTACCTATTCTTGGCACTGACATCCTCTCTCTACCCACTGGCCAGTTTCCCAAATGAAGGCACAGGGAGAGCCAGGCTCAGTTATACTTGTTCCTTTTATTTACTGAGTAACACAATAAAGCGATGAGATTTGATTATCAAAATATTTTCCTTTTTTTTCCCCAACAGTTATAGTACATCAAAAAATATACAGTGAACAGTACAGAGGGGTGGAGGGGAGATACTGGCCAAGTCCCTAGAGTCTTTATTTTGTGTGTGAGGTTTGGTTTCTTTTATTTCTGTTTAATCAAACATTGTTCACATCACTCCAAGGTTATGTACAGAGGGGCACACGTTGTCGAGAGCTACGCACTACGCCCTACAGCTACTACAGTATATGCTAAGTCAAAGGCAGTTAATGCTTTGGAGAGCATAGGAGTAGACAGGGGGACTCTGGTGGTGCAGGAGCGTAGGAGATGGGGGCACGTGGTTTCAAGCAGCTCATCGCAGTATTATTCGTAGAAGGAATGGCTTTAAAGGGGTTAAAGTGCCGAGTGTATGAGTATATCAGGCCCTGGCACCGTTAGGTGACTCACTGGCTCCAAAGGAAAGTCCAGCACAGGTGTCAACAACACAGCCTGGGGGGGCTTGTGAGGGGAGACCACTGTGGTGCTTTTTGGGGTCTCTCATAAGGAGGAGCCTGGCTAAAGCTGTATGCTTCCTGAATTCTCAAAGCCAGCACTGTGTGTGCATGGGGGACAGGGCGCTAGGAGGGCCACTCAGGTAGTGTGTAGGGCAGAGTGAGCAAAGCAGAGGCACAGAGAAGGCTGTGAAAGTGGGGGATACTCAGGCTACCTGGGGGCTGATGGGCATTAGAAGATCTCTGGGATGCATCTCAGCAAAATGCTGGGTTTCCATCGCATTGTCCTGTCCATGGCTTAGAAGGGGAGGCTTTGCCCAATGGCAGGCCCTACACCTGCTCTGGGCTTTGTAGGGAGTGGAAAGAAGGGACTGCAACTTGGGGCGGGGGGGACCTATTTCTCTAGCTGGCTTTGTTTCCTTGCAACTCTGCTGCATAGACCAGCTCCCTGGGCAGGCGCCTGGCTGAGAGCTTGCCTCTGCTGTGCTGAGCTCTGTGGGGCTGGGGGTACAGGTGGGTTGCTGGTCTCTGAAGGGGTAATTCATCCCAGGAGGCTTGGGGTAGGGTGAAATGAGGCGGGTTGCAAAGCTCCCCGGGAAATATGGAAAGCCAAATATCAAACAAAAAAGATCAACCCTGAGCTCCATCCCCAGGCACCCAGGAAAACTAGCAAAAAATACAATTCCCCTTGTCCAGGCATCCTCAAATGCCTTCCCAGCAGGGTCAGCCACCCAGCACTCAGCCCCTAGTTGAGTCTCCTTTCCCATTCCCCTCCCACACAATGCCTGCCAGGTCCCTCTTTCCCCCCTCAAGCTGCTCCCCACCTCTGGGCCCATCTACTGCACCAGCTCCCTTTCCTTTGAACAGGGGCAGGGGGAGATGATACGCTTCCCACAACCACATTCAGCCCAAGCCTCCAGTGCCCTTGCTATGTGCTCCTGTTACCCCTCTACTGCCTTGTGTGAGAGACAGTAACAATCTACTTCTGCTCAAGTGGCAGAGGTCTGCACAGTGGCACTGAAGGCCCCTACAAAAGCAGAGGAGGGACTGCTGTACAGGTGTGACTGATGCCCTCTTGGCCAACAGCAGGACTGGAAACAGGCACCTCCAGGAGCCCCTACAGCCTGAGGAGAAGCAGCAGGTCAGGGAGGAGAAGGCTGAAGCAGACCCATATGCTCCATAAATTAGGAACACAGCAACCTGGGCTCCTTAGAGCTAGTGTCAGGGCAGTGTCCTGCTGCTCAGCCTAGCAGGGCCCTGCCTACACAGTAGCAAATACCTCCTGAAACTCATTTCCTTTCTCCTTCAAAATCAAGACATCTTAAGCATGTGCTTGTGGGTCTCCGGATGCACATATGAGCCCCTGGCCTGTCTCTGGGGCCCCAGGGGCCTTCTAGAGGGCAGCACCAGGCAGCTCCTGTGCTGGGAACCTATGTCAGGGCTTAGGGAGTCGAGGCTCTCTGGGAAGCACCTACATGGTTCTTTCTAAGTGCTGCATCATTGAATTCCATTTCAAATGACACTCCTCAGTGCGCAGACAGAATGAGCACCAAAGTAGAACGCAGACAGGGTCACATGGTGGCCGGGTTGCTCCATTTGGATTTGCATAGATCAGGATGGGTGGTCATTCCGGCACAACGTCTGTTGGGGTTGCCACCTTCCTACCAGTTTCTACTGACAGGGTGCACTAGGGAGACAGGTGGGCAGAGGCCCCGGGCGCCCTGTGAATGGTTTTTAGACCAGGTCATTGCCGGATCTTTTAACACAGTGAAATAGAAAACAATTCCTCCTGCGTTTTCTTCTGTTTGACTCCTCCACTGCCCTGCCAGGGCCCCAAGTTCTGCAAGCTGCAAGGAGAGCATTAGAGGGAGAGGGCCAAGGGTTTATTCAATGCATCTGCTCTTTTATTCTTGATTGTCTGGATTCTGTAACCAGGGCACCTCTGATTCCTATAGGGCAGATAGTAACTCCTTGGAAGCTCCTGATTTGATGGGGGCAGGTAGTTTGCTGACCTGTGAATAATGATAATACTTTGTCCTTCCTCAGCCCCTTTTATTGGAGAACCACCGAGCACTTTAGGAACCTTTGCTCAGCCTCACAGCATTCTCCCGTGAGGTAGGGACAGACTCATCCCCTGCTTAGTAGGGGGGGAAACTGAGGCACAAAGAGGTGAACACCTTGGCATACGGGGAGTCAGTGGCAGAGCTGGGAACAGAACTCAGGGATAAGAGGTTGTTCTCTTACTGTCACACCACACCTCTGGACTGAACTGGGAAGAGAACGCTGGTGTTCTGACTCCCCCGGTCCTGCTGTCTAACTCCTAGACCACACTGCTTCCAGACCTGGGACTGACCCCAAGAGTTCTGTTGTCTAACTAGTAGACTAGGCAACCCCTCAAAATTTGCTGCTCTCCACTGTGCTCCACTGTTGCTATGGTGGAAAATAATGTGCTTTCTGAAGGGAGCAAGAAAGAGGACTCTGTTATGAAGGTGCCCTGGGGTTCCCTACTCATTCCCGAAGCAAAAATGCCATCAGAATCTGGCTCGTGTCTGTCTCGGTTTATCTCTCCTAGGAATTTGGGGCTGGTGAAGTGTACCAGGCTAACAGAGCTGAAGACTCATGCTCCACCTGCAGCCTCAGAATCAGGGCAGCAGAGACATCAATCTTCACCAATGGGTCTCATGCTCTGGTGTGCAGCAGGCACGTTTCCGTGAAGGACAGCTCCATCTGAGGAAGGGGCAGTAAGGGGCTGGTTTCTGTCCTGCTAACACCTGGTGTGAGATCCACCTCACAGACTCACTCAATTGGGCTGCAGAATGGCCAGCCAGGAACTATGATTTTGAAACTGCTACCATGCTGAGCTGACCTTGAATCAGGCAGCCAGAGATGGATGCCCTTCCTATCCCTTGAGCCCTTTGCCCTGATGAGACTGACTTTAATAATTATGAAGGGTCAAAGGGGGTGAATGATAAACTAAGACAGAAACCCCTGCTAGCTATGAGAATACATGGGTTTTCTAGAAGGGCTGGTGGCCCTGGCACTATCTTTGTCACTGAATCAAATCCAGCTGCATGCAGGGATGTGTTCCACTGAGCAAGTGCATGGCAAATTAGGCTGGGTGTTGGGAGTGGGGGTGCAGGTGGAGGGTAAGGGGTGCACAGCTGGGGTTGTCAGAAGTGTCAGCTGGGGAATCCTCTAGTCCACTAGAAACCTTGTTAAAGCCTCTAGGAGCAAAAGAAAAACCTTGAAAGAGGGTTACAAATACTCTTCCCTTTCATCAGGACAACCGCCTGTCCCCAAGAGGGTTGCCCCTTACTGCATAGTTCCCCTGGGTTTTAGCCACGTCTGTAACAGATGGAGCCTTCGAGGCTGAGAGATTCTAGTAGGGCGCGAAGACGATGGGGCCCGGCGTGGCACGGACGTGGCCTGGTGGGGTTCGGAAGAGTGCTGGTCCAAGGATCGGGGCCTGGAAGAGGGTGGTGGCAGCAGCTGGTCGGAGGGCAAGGGGGCTGGGCATGGCGCACACAGCTGCCGTGGTGAGCGGGCTTGGGAGAAAGCGGGTCGCCAAGGTTTTGGTGAGGTGCTTCTGCAAAGCCAGCTTGGACTGCAGAGAGGGGATAGAGAGACAGAGAGAGAGAAAGGGAGAAAGCACATGAACCACCCACTTGCAGGAGACAAGGTCTATATACTTGCTGTCCTTCTGGGGGATAGCTGTGCCCAGCCTCAGGCTCAGGGGTAGTCCAATTACAGGCCTGTGGTCTCAGAAACAGAGATTTAACATAGTCACCTGCTTCTGCCTCACAGGAATTGCTCCATTGGCTCAAGGCAGGAACCCATCCAGTCCTTCATCCTGTCTCCAACCACAGCTAGCAGTGGCTGCTCTGGGGAATCCTGCCCTTCACGTTACCTTGTGGCTGTGCTCCCCAGGCTCATGGTGCATTCTGTGCACATCTGTGTATGGAGAGATGCATTTCCACGCCTCCATTTTTAATCTTTTGACTTTCACCAGATCTCTGGCCACAGCCCCCCAATCCCAGTAAAGAATCCATCCAAAGTGCTGGCATTTTGGTACCTAACCTGAACCACCATTTCAGGTTTTAGACCACATCCAGAGGCCCAGGAAGCAGTGACCTGTTCTGTGAGGCTGACAGCTCACAAAGAGGTGCCTTCCTAAGAGATCTGCTGCCCTAGCTCAGCCATTACAGATCAGTCATCAATCAAGGCTCTCTGGCTTGTTAACGTGGGAGGCTGGACCAGAGGACCCCTTCAATCTCTTCTGGCCTTTTAAACCTATGAATCTGGGTTGCTATTTCCTGTGACACTCAGCTGCAAATCTATTAATTCAAGGAGCTGCCGCTGACAGGTTTGTCCTTGAAAGGACTCCACCAGCACGTTTTCACCAGCTGTCTCCTTGCAAAAAAAAGGGCACTGCTGATCCAAGGAGGAGGGGAAACCAAAAAGTGTTCCTGAGAGTCCAGGAAGATGCCGAGAGTTCTTCCAAGATCATGGTGGCATCTTGTACACTTGGGTTCACATGTCTCAGGTCCTAGTTCCCTGCTGGGTGACAGTGTTCACTGGGAACTGCTCCAATGGTGATTTATCCTTCCTCTGCCCCAAGATGCTCCCCTACCTGGGGAGCCATTTGCAAAGACCTGATCTCATTGCAGCTGACAGGACAGACAAAATGGAGCTGTTTGGAAAGCAGTGAAACTGGGAGAGGTCTCAACAGTGTCTCCTTAAAAATACTGAGAACATGGGGGGGGTGGAACTACTGGATGACCGTGCCCAGATGCTTGCTTTTACATATATTAATGTGTATCAGTCACATTAGCTGATATGGCATCAGATTGGAGTCACTCTCCAGTGTGGAAAGGACCATGCAGCACTGGCTTGAGTCTATTTGAACACTGACAACCACAACCCTCTCTCGGATCATTCCAGCCAGCCTATGGAGCAAAGCTAGCTCCTTCCCAGCCCCCTACAGAAGGCCTAAAGGGACCCTCTGTTCAGGTCCCTTGGCAAGAATGGATGCAGAGGAGAGCCCTCCATGGAAGCCTTAAGCTGACCTGCCTCCTGACAATAAAAGAAGCTGGACTTCCCCTATGGAAACAAGAAACAAGGGCCAAAACTGCTGATCCTTATTACTGGGCACGTCTACACGTTTATTAATGTGCCTTACGACACTGCACATTTAGTTTCGTACTTCCTTAATAAATTATTAACTAAATGCACAATACCTAGAGTTACTGCATAGTAGCACCAGCGCATGGTTATTTGGTGATGCTTACTGTGCATTAGCCTAATAACACCGCGCAGTAGGCTATTAGCACAGTTTTTGCCGTGACACGCTACTGTGCAGTGTTATTAGGCTAATGAGTAGTGCTCCCACTGAGTCCCGGGGATGGGATGAGACTCTGGACTTGCTGCTGCATTACAGACAGACCTGTGTCAACTTCTATAAACAAACCCTGGAGCTTGATGTCAGATGAAAAACAGCACTGGTGGCTCCGAGCTTTCAACAATCACAAAATGGCTCCTTTACAAAATCATTACGCTGGCATGGAAGCCTTGAAAAATAATAAACCTTGGGCTCTTTTTATTGATCTTTAGGAGCCTTCTTTTCAAGCTTTTCCTTTATGATAACTGGGGCTAGAAACTCCCCCCACCCCCATAGGGAGCGGAGATTAGGATGCAGTTAGAGGACTCCAGGGGCTGGGGTTTTAAGGCCACCCCCCCACCGCGCCAGAATATCACAGATCTTGCAGTAATATCACAAGAGTCAGCAAATGCTGCAAGCTACATTCTAGACAAACACACCAGAAGGAAGTTTGCTGGAAGACAGATACCTTGAGAATACTCACTGCGAGGGCAGCGTTCTTCTGCAGCTTATTGTATGGGCTGTACTTTGGTTTGGGCGGCTTCCCAGCAAGCCTGTCTTTGTGTCTCCTGCTGTTCATGTGCTGTGGGTGGGAAAGCCAGAGGGTCACATAGGGATTGGGAAATCTACTGGCAAACCCATTATCCCCATGAATGACCCTCTGGAGCCCTGCTCTGTGCCTGCCCTATGGGAGACACGCAAGTGCACATTCAGTGCATTCTCTCAGTCATTCCATAACACATCCTTTGCTTCTGATGTCTTGGCTCTGGGATTTGCACCATGCAGGCAACAATGGCCTCAACATAATCGTCAGCAGGAGCTGAACCCAGGACCACAGAGTGCCACCTCTCTACTGGCTGAGGTACAGAATCAGGCCACCTAGCTTGCAGCTGATACCAGACTCATTGCCCTCTATGCATAGTTCAGCCATTAGAAGGCAAATATCTACCACTGTGTGACTGCTGTTAGGGACAGCTCTTTTCCTTACCTTGGGCTCCATTCTATCCCTCCTGCAGTGTCATTGCTGCTGCCTCTTTTCTCAGAATTAAGCATGATTTTACATAAATGAATCGATTTCTCATGATCCATTTCAATGCACTGTCTAATCTTTTTGTTCTCTCCATCTGCTAATTCCCACCCATCCCCACACTTCCTCTGCTCCACTTTTCTGTGACCCTGCAAACTTATAAAAATTGGAAGGATCAATCTTTCCCCATACAGGGGAGGAGCTGTAAGGTCCAGGCAAAAAGGCATTTCAACCTCTTCCTCAGGGAGCTGGGCTCTGCAGGGTGCCATCTGCAGTGAGGTGTTCTGGGGAGAGGAGAGGCTAGGGTTGTTTCCAGTAAGATATGGAACTATACATGTCAAGAGACCCACCCCCAAACATGTACTGAAGGGGTCTGGAGGAAGCATATGCCTCACTCCACCACTTGTGGAAAATCCTGTGGGTGGGCCTTTCACAGGCATCACAGATTCCTCTGTCCTATGTCCTGGTATTTCCAAGGACAGACACTGAAAGGGAAGATCTCACCAGGCAAGAGGAGGGCTAGAGCCATCACCTGTTTAAGCTGGGTCTCCGAGTTTACGTAGATCTCACACACTTGGCAGTGGAATGCCTTGTTCTGGATGTTGATGCTGCCCTTGTTGCCAATCCGTTTGGACTTGTGTCCTGCCCGGGAGAGGACCTTGCCTCGGCCCCGCCGCATCTGGGTGGTGTGACCCTCCAGCATGGACTTGTGTTTGGCTCCTGGACAGCAGAGGGGAAATGAAAGTCTTTAAGCAAAGGGACCAGATGCCTTGACTAAGGTGAAGATGCTGTTGATAAATGCAGTGTAGGAGTTGAGTGTGCTTTGCCTTCAAATTTACCATGATGATTATCTGAAATATTCATACACAAACCCCAGCAGCATGCCTTCTTCCATGCAAAACACAAAGCAAAACTCCGCGATGGCAGGGGAGACCAAGGAACAGGGAAGGAAGCGACTTGCTCAAGGTAACATAGACCAGTGGCAAAGCCAAGTAGAGAATCCAGGTCTCAGTGTCAGGCCAGGGAAGCCAAAACAATCCCAGTTCTCTGAAGCATTCTCCCCTGGACCAGCAATCCCTACAGTCAGACTGGCATAGGTTTGCATGAGTGGAGAACCTCAGTGCCGGGTGAAACAGCAAGTGCACTCCATGATCTCATGTTGCCCCAGCCCTCCTGTGTGGAGCTCCAGCTCAGAGTAAATACTGCACGTCCAAGTTATGAACAGAAGGCAGAACTGTGCTGGCTGCTCTGACTATAGGCGGAGAGGTGTGAGCAGGTTTTGCACTAATAAAGGTCAAGGAGCCAGAGGAAACGATGTTCAGTGCTGTCCAAGGGCATCTCTCTGCTCACTGCACCAAGTAGCCGAACACTTAGTGCCCAGCATGTTGTGTCGTTAAGATATAATGTAAGCAGAGGTAATCACTGGAAACCATCTCCCAAGTCAGCCACCTCAGCATTTCTCCCTGGGTCCAGTCTCTGAGCCTCTAGGTAAAGCTCTCACATCCTCCTGGGGATCAGGTTCTGGGCAGGCGTGCTGAGCCTGCTTTAATTTTGGGCACTGGTAATATGAGAAAACAGGGCTGACTATGACTGGAGTGGGGGGCGGTACCAAAGAGATCAGGTGTTTCTTGAGTACCCGCTGGGTGACATTCAGGAATGGGTGCCTTGGGTTTTCCCCAGAGCCGGGTGGTGGGACCCAGGGATCCTGTGGGGAGTCACATGCCTTGAAGAACATCTGAACTGGCCTTTATACAATGACCTCTGTAATTCTAGCTAAAAGCACAGGAAATTTGCCAATAACTGGTGGGACTCAGAAGTCAGACGTAGGACAGAAGTGAGTCAAAGCCAGCAGCACTCCCAAAGGGGAAAGGAATGGGAGATCTACACAGTATTTCCCAGCTAAGGCTCACTGAGTGTGGGTCCTTCTGGCTCAGCCTGCAGGGGCGCAAGCTTGTGTGACTACCAGTGAGGACTGGCTCAGTTCAAAGGGAGGTGAAGCCTGTCTCTGTTCAACTCTGCTACAAGCAAAAAAGCTTTGTGGGTGACCTGATACAGCTCTTCTCTACAGAACAAGAGACCCCCGTTTTGAGACTCAGTTATAGCAATCTATGGCCTGCACACAGAGAGAGAACAACTCCCACTCTGGGGAGGGGGGCTGTGCTGTTTGGAGATGTCTAGCTTTACAGATGGTAGTTCCCAGAGCTGCAAACAAGCAGTATCTGCTCAACAGCAATCAGAGCTTCTTACCATAAGCTTGTCATCTAGAGATCTTAAAGCAGGGGTAAGTAAAATACAGCTGGTGGGCTGGATCTGGCCTGCCAACTGATTGTATCTGGCCTGTGGGCAGGTGGCCACCAACTTATCGGATGAGGCCCACAGGCAGCCCAAGGCAGCTGCCAGCTCTGGCTTCAGCTACCACTTGGTGCTCGGCAGGTGGGCAGGACTGTTTTCACCATGCTGGGTGGGCTCCCTCCACCCAGCACTGATGTGTTGGCATCAGCTGTGGGCCCAGACAAATGCCTGGATCCCCACCCAAAACTGCATCCACAGCTGATGCCAATGCCCACTCAGGGCTGCTTCTGCCACCCAAGGCAGGTGGTGGTGGAAGCTGTGGATGGGGCCGGCAGGTTCTGGGTCAGGGATGGGGCATGCTACAGCTCTGGGAGGGGGGCAGGGGGAGCAGGGCATGCTGCAACTCGGGGTGGGAAGTGGAGGGGAGGGAGAGAGAGAGAGGGCATGAGGGCTCAGGCATACTACAGCTTTGGGTGGGGAGAGAAAGAGTGATGTGGCCCTCAAGAGGACACTGAAACTCACATGACCTTTGAAAGGACACTAAAACTCATTAAGTGGCCCTCCAGCCAAGATAGCTGCCCACCCCTGGGTTAAAAGCACACCACAGGAAAGGTTAATATTTTACAGATGGCGACAAAGGTGTGGACTTGGCTATGGTCACTAGCCGATCAGTGGCAGAGCTGGAAACAGAAGCCAGTCAGGTGCCCTAACTCTGAGGACACCGGAGATGGCTTCTGTGTCAGAACGATGGCTCAGCAGCCCCTGTGTATTTTGGCTTCTAAGCCTTCAGCAGTTTCCTCCCTCACAGTTTCTGGAGTCTGTGACAGGAACTGCAGACACCTTAAACTAGGAGATTTTGTTCACAGCTATCACTAAACCAGTGAAAACTGACACTCGGGATGGGAGCAATGACTCATTCTCCACCTCTCCCCTATGCGGTTTCCAAAGACTCAGTGGCTGGCTGGATATCTCACCCACATCCAGGACTGTGCTGCCCAGGCTTCCTTGAGAACTTCCCTTGCTGTGGGGTCAGACCTTCAGGACCACTGCCACTCTAAACTGACCGGTGTACATCACCTGGTACCTAGACATGAACTGCAATCTAGGGAGGTACATATACATGTCCGTCAATGCTGTAGCATCTGAGCAGTGCCCCAAGCTCAGTGATTTGGCATTGGAGCAATGAACAGAACCTAAGGATCCAGGCTCCCATTCCCCCGCTTCCTCTAACCGTAGAGCAGGCTGTAGGCACGGAGCTGGGAATGGAACCCAGGAGTCCTGTTTTCTAGTCATCAGCAGCAGCCAAGAACTGGAAACCTTATGAAGTGTGAAACATTTTAGAAAGCCGTTCTGGGGCCTGGCATCTCTAAACCAATAAATGGTGGATGCCCAGGAGGGAACTGAATAAGGGATAGATCACATTAGGGATATCTGGTTTGATGCTCTCTTTCTATAGCATCCAGATCTGCCACTGTTGGAGACAGGTCTATTTGATGCACATACGGGTGTGGGTATGTGTCCATACAGGAACAGTTAGTCCCATCTGTTACTAAAAGGGCCTACTGAGGGTACAGCAACAGAGTTATTGGGATAAACAATGCAAAAACAGGGAGAGGAGCAAGAGCCAAAGGTTAATAACAAGTGTTCCAAGGGAGGACACTAAGCAGAGCACACTGGTCAGTGTCTACTGGCCCTCAAACAAGTCCAGGGAGCCAATGGATACTGATCAGTGATACTCTACCCAGAGACATGAATATCCAGGGCAGAAAGATGGCTCCAGCCACGGGGGGTCTTCTAGGCCAGAACCTCCTTCCTGGTCAGATAGATGGCCAACTTAGCAAGGGCCATGAGGAGGCTGACCAGGAGGTCGGAGACAGGCTACTAGGGTAGGTGGACCATTGGTCTGACCCAGTATGGCACTTCTTATGTTCTGACAACATATGTCCATTAGCAAATGGCAGGAAACAGCCAGCAACCCCACTGACGCTACCTCTGGTGCCACTGCT